AGTATTAGTTTCAGATAGAAGTAATATTAGCAAAAGTTAAAGATGATTCAATTATCTAAAAATTCATCTAATGTTATAGGGGTGTTAATCAAATTTTCATTCATCAAAATCGACCATAAACTCCATACATATTTTAGATACTCTAATTATGGTTGGTGAGCGCCCTTATATACTTTTGTAAATATAGATCGTTATGTAGTAATCTTAGACACATAAAATATTAAGATAATTTTTAGATAATTAAATTATCTAAAACTTTGTCTAACATAATAATAATAAAAAATTAATTTTCTTTAATCAAGATCTATCCTGAATTTTTTTATACTTTCCAAATCTTATTTGAAATACATCTTCATAAATTTCATTTCAATTTAATATTTAATTTAGATAATAAAATTATGTATAATTGAGATAAATATAAAATTACTGGATTAGGCCATTATTTGAATAGTAGTATAATTTAAAATGTATAATATAAAACTGGAAATAATGTCTTATTCTACAAATACACATTCAAAAAACACATGTATATAATGAAATACATTATAAATTATATAATTTTATACCATCAATTAAATCCATATAACACACTTTTTATAATACTTTATCTTAAAATCTCAACCATAAACACACAATAAAACCATTAAGACATTTACTAGTAACTTTTACATTTAATAAAAAATTTCACTGCATCTGTAACAATCTTTAATAAAAAAACTAAGCATGGTTTTTTGTGAACTTTTAACAATATCTGGAAAACTACTAAACACATTTACATACTTTCTTCAGATAAAATTTAGATAATTAAATTGTCTACAATTTTGTCTAATATTGTTTAAACATTTTGTTAATATTTATATTTTAAAATTAATTCCAAACGTAGCGCATGCAATGCTAAAATTCGATACACAAAAAAAGCACGATGGGAAAATTTTTAAGATTTCGTTCGTGGAATATCCATAGAGAAAGTATCTTGTAACTTTTGAACTATTTATCTTACATACTTGAAATATATGATAAATTTGTATAAAATTGAATAATTTACAATGTTTTCTTATATTGTAATGCCCTACAGCAATTCTGTATACTTAAAATTACAATTTAATACAAACGTCTAGGGTCTATCGAGTTTGGGATCGATTTTGAGGAATGAAAATTTATTATGCAGCACTACTTTGTTAGACAAAGTTTAAGATAATTTAATCATCTAAAAATTATCTTAATACAATATGTATCTAAATTTATATCATAACGATCTATGAATAAAAAGTATAATAGTTTCCATAGGTTGTCAAATATTTCCCTTCCGCTTTTTTGCTATTGGTTTATAATACAAAAAGGCGGAAGGGAGATATTTGACAACCTATATAAGTGCGCTCACAAACTATATTTATAGAACCTGAAAATACGTATCGAGTTTAAGGTCAATTTTGTTGAATAAAAATTAATTTTACAATACTATTATGTTAGACAAAATTTAAGATAATTTAGTTATCTAAAAATTATCTTAATATAATATCCATCTAAATTTGCACCATAACGATCTATGAATTAAAAAGCATATAAGCGCTCACAAACAATATTTATAAGACCTGAAAATATGTATCGAGTTGAAGGTCAATTTTGGTTAATAAGAATTTATTTTGCACTACTATTATGTTAGACGAAATTCAAGATAATTGAATTATCTGGAAATTATCTTAACATAATATGTACCTAAGTTTGTGCCATAACGATCTATGAATCAAAAACTATATAAGTGAAAATATGTATCGAGTTTAAGGTCAATTTTGGTTAACAAGAATTTATTTTGCAGCACTATTACGTTAGACAAAATTCAAGATAATTTAATTATTTGAAAATTATCTTAATATAATATGCATCTAAATTTGTATCTTAACGATCTATGAATTAAAAAGTATATAAGTGCGCTCACTAACAATATATTTAGGACCTGAAAATATGTATCGAGTTTAAGGTCAATTTTGGTGAATGAAAATTAATTTTACAACATTATTATATTAGATGAAATTCAAGATAATTTAATCATCTAAAAATTATCTAAATATAATAAGTATATAAGTTTGTATCATAACGATCTATGAATTAAAAAGTCTATAAGTGCGCTCACGAACAATATTTATAGAACCTGAAAATATGTATCGAGTTTGAGGTTAATTTTGGTGAATGAAAATTAATTTTACAACACTATTATATTAGATGAAATTCAAGATAATTTAATTATCTAGAAATTATCTCAATATAATATGTATCTAAGATTGCATCATAAGGATCTATGAATTAAAAAGCATATAAGAGCGCTCACAAACTATATTTATAAGACCTGAAAATATGTATCGAGTTTAAGGTCAATTTTGGTGAATGAACATTAATTTTACAACACTATTATATTAGATAAAATTCAAGATAATTTATTCATATAAAAATTATCTTAATATAATATGTATCTAAATTTGTACCATAACGATCTATGAATTAAAAAGTATATAAGTGCGCTCACAAACAATAGGACCTGAAAATATGTATGGAGTTTAAGGTCAATTTTGGTTAATAAGAATTTATTCTGCAGCACTATTATGTTAGATGAAATTCAAGATAATTTAATCATCTAAAAATTATCTTAATATAATAAGTATCTAAGTTGGTATCATAACGATCTATGAATTAAAAAGTATATAAGTGCGCTCACAAACAATATTTATAGAACCTGAAAATATATATCGAGTTTAAGGTCAATTTTGACTTATAAAAATTTATTTTAAAGCACTATTATGATAGACAAAATTTAAGATAATTTAATTATCTAAAAATTATCTTAATATATTAAGTATCTAAATTTGTATTATAACGCTCTATGAATTATAAACAATATTTATAAGACCTGAAAATATGTATCGAGTTTAAGGTCAATTTTGGTTAACAAGAATTTATTTTATAGCACTATTATGTTAGACGAAATTCAAGATAATTTAATTATCTAAAAATTATTTTAATATAATATGCATCTAAGTTTGTATCTTAACGATCTATGAATTAAAAAGTATATAAGTGCGCTCACTAACAATATTTTTAAGACCTGAAAATATGTATCGAGTTTAAGATCGATTTTGGTGAATAAAATTTTTTTTACAACACCATTATATTAGATAAAATTTAAGATAATTTAATTATCTAAAAATCATCTTAATATAATATGTATCTAAGTTTGTTACATAATGAATTATAATTAAAAAAGTATATAACTGCGCTCACAAAATATAATTTTTGTAAGAAATCGATTTAATTAATCGAATATAGTTTTTTTTTTTTTTAATGAATTTTTTCAAACTTTGTTTTTTTTTTAATTTGATTTTTTAACTTCCCGTAGGGCAAGTTATAGTAATCGCAAAAAAATCGAAATTGAACCTTTTTATATACCTTTACGTTTAAAAACCTTCTGAATATTTTGGCATGCCTTAGAAAAAATGGATGTATGCGTGTGTGTGTGTGTGTGCGCGCGTATGCTCGTGTGTGCGGATACACATTTTCGTCGACGATTTCGGGAACACGGATGAAGCGATTTGAATAATTCAAAAAACATTCGATTCGTATTGATAAGGAGACGTGCTAATTAGTTTTTAGCGAAGGCAGGTCTAACCGTTCCGAAGATACGGGACAAAAAGAGCCAAAAACGGTAACTTAGTTTTTAAGAGAACGGAGCGTCCGATTTGAATAATTCAAAAAACGTTTTACTTGTATTAACAAGATGAAAAATTGATCATGAAGGCAGGTCTAGCGGTTTCGGAGATCTAATGAAAAAAGTAAAAAAATGCCATTTGGCGGTCAATAATGATCATTAGACATATGCACATCAAATTATCAGATATTTTATAGAGATTTTAACAATAAGTATGAATTTTGTTTACATTCCTAAGGGTTCCGTAACAATGTTTATCCGTTAGACGGCGACGCGGCGCTTACGCGCTTCTATATTTCGTCTCTATGCAGTTAAAGCAGTACGATTGCTTTGAAAAAAAGTTCAGAATTTCCAAAATATGTCAAAATAAAGAAAATATTTTTTTTTCAAAAAAAGTAATTTTTTGACGAATTTATAGTTTCTCAAAAATCAAATTTTTTTTAAGTAATTTTTGTTCAAAAATGTTATTCTTTAAAAAAAAAAAGATTTTTGGTACGGAAAGTTCCAGCATTTTGCCTTAAGGCACGATGCCATGCGCCCCACTAGTTTTGAAATATTTTGGAAGTTCTGAACTTTTTTCCTTTAACTGCATAGTGACAAAATTTCGAAGCGCGTAAGCGCCGCGTCGCCGTCTAAGGGATAAACATTGGTACGGAACCCATAGGAATGTAAACAAAATTTATACTTATTGGTAAAATCTCTATAAAATATCTGATAATTTGATGTGCATATGTCTAATGATCATTTTTAACCACCGAATGGCATTTTTTAATGGGAATGATAGATGAGAAATGTTAGATGTTAGTTTTACATTAGACAAAGTTTTAAATACAAAACCTTACATACCTGTCAGAAAGGAAACGACATAATATTATTAATCACAATGTCAGTTCCTAAACACATTTACACTAATATCTACTATTTTAGAGATTATTTTACGCCATGACGTATTTTAGGTTATCACTTGTTTTGCTATCCATTATAGGCGAAAGGGGCGCAAGGGGTATCTATGACGATCACAACCCGCGAAATTTAAACTAAAAAAATTAGGTATTTTTTTTTACATTATATATATATATATATATATATATAAATCGATTTATAAAATTTATTGAATTTATATAATTTATATAATTTATCGATTTATCGATTTATAAAATTCATAATATAATTTATCTAAACAATTCAAATCCCAACCGCCATTTTCTTGACAGTTTCCCTTTGACATCTCTCACCTGTCATGGCGGCCACTTGTTGCATGTTTATTTACCAACGTTGTCTAAAATGTCAAAATGTCATCAAAACAATAAATATGCCATCAAATAAATCAACTAGGCATGTAAAACAAAACACAAACCCTAAAAAAGCACATTCAAAAATAATATTTTCAATATGTTTAATCAACAGTTATCAGAGATATGTATTAAAAAAGAGCCAGACGATGACCTAACCTCAAAATCCACATTTATTTCAGAATTTGTAAAGAACTATGGTGATATTAAAAAAGAAGAGGATTGTGATAGCTTAGGATATAATGGAGATTGTGATCTGTTTTATTTTGAAATTTTAGATAAAGATTCTATGTTGGATGTTCATGTCAAAGATGAAATGTGAGTATACCGACAGCAATATATATATACATACATGCAATATATATATATATATATATATATATATATATATATATATATATATATATATATAATGGGTAGTACAGCCTTAAGGCAGGTCTGTGAACTGAGTTAAACTCCAACTTAATTCAGGGATGAAGTAGTGTGAGAGTTTTTCCTATTTCCATTTCATATCACAGTGCCCGAGATGAGCTTGTTTTCAATTTGAATCATATTTTCATCTATATTTTCAATTGGAAATGGAAAATATATATATATATATATATATATATATATATGTATATATGAGATTAAGTCTTCAGGGCAATACATCAATTCAAACGTTTCCATACGTTTCGACACATTGTTTTGTGTCATCTTCAGTGGACTCTAGTTTAAAAGCACATATTAAAGCTATTAATTAAAATTAATTTATAAGAAAGTGGTATGGTGTGAAAACTTACATGTAATTGTAGTAATGCTAATTATTTCACAATAATAATTGTTCACAAAAGCACAATAAAAACAGTTCCTGTTACTTTAAATCTGAACAATTATATAAAATTTTTAAAACAAATTTTTTATTGTATAGTACATGTCACAAAGCACGTTGTCCAATGCGGCAGTGGGACAAAAATCTGCACAGCACATGTTAAGTTAGGTAGAGGGCACAAACACTGACCAGAGAATTCAGGATTTGACAACGCGAGGAGGATACATATAGTAAAAAGATAAAAAGATGAAAGAAGACTGAATCTCACATATCTCAACATCAAAATTATTAAAATTTAACATTTATATATATATATATATATATATATATATATTATTTTTAATAAAATACCTTTTAACATTGAACAACATAGAAATCTTGACTATAAAATAAATTGTCTGGACTGTAATTTAATTTACATAGGAGAAACTTAATTAAACATTTACAACACAAAAATAATTTTAAAAAAATCCCAGACAATTTAAAACTATGCTTGCGGACCACATCAATACTTTAAAACACAATATACACTTTTAATCAGATAGCATTTTCAACTTTCTCACAAAACAATAAAAATGTCGCAATTAGTTCCACACATGTGTAGAATCTTGGTAAAAATATTTGAAAAAAAAAACCTCTCTCCATGATGTCTTCAACCAGTTTTGGTACTTCTTCAAATATATGTAAATAACTCAAAACTTTGGAAAAAATCTCATTGATTTTAGTATTTGTTGTTATAGTAGACTTATTGAGATATAACATATTCAAATTAGAAGGTTGTAGTACAACCAGTGCGTCTTGAGGAGCTCATGAAATGCAGAATTTTGATCTATGGTACATTGTTCTCTTTTAAAAATATTTTACCTATACTTTCACTTATCAATTTTTGTATTGGTTGTCATAGCACACACACACACATATATATATATATATATATGCATATATATTTATATATTTATTTCTATTACAGCCTCCCAGATTCATCCTGCGAAGAGCTCCTAGATGCTGACATCTGCAGGGATTTTGTTCATTGCACCGATTGTGATATTTTTTTCTGTGATGAACAATCTTTGATTTATCACAAATTAGCCAAAAGATGTACAAAGTACAAATGTTTTATTTGCCATAAGAAGTTTCATTTGAAAATGGATTTGGATAAACATAACAAAATTCACAAGACTATTTTTAAATGCACGAACTGTGGAGAGACTTTTACATTGGAGAACCAGTTTAGGGCACACTTGAGGAGTCATATGGAAAAACCTACTTGCTCAGTTTGTGGTAAGGAAGAAATAAATTAACTTGCTTTTTTGTATAGTCTGACTAGGTCTTTTGTCTGGGTATGTTTGACTCATTAAAAAATAATACCAACTGCAACCTCCACTTTTCTCTTGCTTCTTGTTCCCATGGAAACCGCTGATAGGCATCATTACAATGGGGGGAAGGCTCTAGAATTCTATAATTCCTATTTTTCATTAAACTTTTATCCTAATTGATCTTATTTACTCTTTTTTGAGTTGATTATTTACACATACCATGAAGTTGAAAGGTCTTTTCAAATATAATATGTGTATTGAAATAAAACTTTGAATTTCTGAATAAAATTAAAAAAGAAAAATGCCATGACTTCTAACATTTGTCATAAATTAATTATTATTTCAAAGACCTGACTAGGTCTTTTGTCTGGGTATGTTGGACTCATTAAAAAATAATACCAACTGCAACCTCCACTTTTCTCTTGCTTCTTGTTCCCATGGAAACCGCTGATAGGCATTTATTACAATGGAAGAAGGCTCTAGAATTCTATAATTCCTATTTTTCATTAAACTTTTATCCTAATTGATCTTATTTACTCTTCTTTGAGTTGATTATTTTCACATACCATGAAGTTGAAAGGTCTTTTCAAATATAATATGTGTATTGAAATAAAACTTTGAATTTCTGAATAAAATTTAAAAAAAAATGCCATGATTTCTAACATTTGTCATAAATTAATTATTATTTCAAAGACCTGACTAGGTCTTTTGTCTGGATATGTTGGACTCATTAAAAAATAATACCAACTGCAACCTCCACTTTTCTCTTGCTTCTTGTTCCCATGGAAACCGCTGATAGGCATTTATTACAATGGGGGAAGGCTCTAGAATTCTATAATTCCTATTTTTCATTAAACTTTTATCCTAATTGATCTTATTTACTCTTCTTTGAGTTGATTATTTACACATACCATGAAGTTGAAAGGTCTTTTCAGATATAATATGAGTATTGAAATAAAATTTTGAATTTCTGAATAAAATAAAAAAAAAAAATGCCATGACTTCTAACATTTGTCATAAATTAATTATTATTTCTTATTGATTATGTATGCAACTTGTCACATGTATGCAACTTGTCTTAATGCATTGTTTATTGCAATCAAACTAATTAAATGTATTTACTAAAAATATTAAAATAATGCTTATCATGCATATCCAAGCCTAAGTAAAAAATGTATGGAAAAGCGTTTTGTTAGTTTCGGACGACATGGCGAGCATTCATAGATTTTAAACTATTTGTTGAACTTAACTAGTAAAAAGTTACAAAGTCAGTTGTAATTGATTAAATGGGTTGTGTACCTCCAATTTTTTTTTACCCAGGTAAATCCTTTACTAGACTCGAGTACCTCCCAATCCATATGAGACAGCACAGTGGTGAACGTCCATTTCAGTGCCAATATTGCTCCAAAACCTTTGCCCGTAAACATGGCCTGGAGTACCATATTCGTGTCCACACTGGTGAGAAGCCTTATACTTGTGAAGTATGTTCAAAAGCCTTCTCACAATCATCAGTTTTGCTAACCCACATGAAACAACACAATGAAACAAAGAACCACAAATGCAAATTGTGCAGCAGATCTTTTCCTTCTCCAAAACTTTTGCAGAGTCACTTAAAAATGCACAAGAGTGAGAAGATTTTTAAGTGCGTCAAGTGTGAGAAAGTTTTTACTCAATCGAGTTCTTTGAATCTCCATATGAAGTGTCATCAAGAAAAGGAGTATAAGTGTGAAGTTTGTGGGAAGGAGTTTGCTTTGAATAATTATTTGACTGTTCATATGAGGACTCATACCAAAGAGAAGCCTTTTCAGTGCGAGTGGTGCTTTGCTAAGTTTACCCAAGGGAGTAGCCTTTCTTTGCACAAGAAGAAGTCTTGTAAGGGAAAGGAACGAGAATAAGGAGTTGATTTTGTTGACAAATAAATGACTGATTATAAGAAAATATGTTAATGTAAATATTAGACTAAGTGTTGACTTTTGCAGTTATTTTATTAATAAAAGTTTCTATGAAATTCTGCATATGCCTTTTCACTATTCACACTATGATAAATATATTTATTTTCTTATTAAGCTCTTTTTAAAGTTTATTTAACCATAAATAACAAACTCAATGACTAATTTTTACTTCCAAAATGAAAACTGTATTCTTTTGCTATACAAACTGATTTCTGGTCATTCTGAATCCTTTGATACTAAAATTGGACAAATATGTGTATGTATGTATGAGTATTGTATCATGTGGTAAATGGCTTTATTAGTAAGCAGATGCAAAAATTTTTGTCTAGAACAAAATTATCATGAGAAAACTTGAACAATTTTATAAATTTAACATTAAATTCCTTCTCCATTATAAGACTTTCTTATTGGTAACATATATCATGGCATTACTGTTGCAGTCAATTTGATAGCTTTTGCTGCCAGAATTAAAAAAAAACATATATAGAATTACCAATGAAACACAAAAATTTAAATGGTCTACCTTAAAAGAACGCAACTTCCATAATCTAAAAGGAATAGTGAAAAATAGTATCAGTTAAGGAAGTGTAAAAAGACAAAAAACGAAACAACACAAAGCAAGTTTATTGGAATTTCTACAAAACTATAAACAACTATTTCAAAACAACAGTAACAAAGTTATTTATCTTACAAATAACATACATATATATTTATTATCGCAGCTTCTACTTCCTCTTCTTGACAATTACCTTCACTTCCCAATTTTGGAGAAATTCTTCTAATTCCTGCCTGGCTTCTGGATTAGTTATCTTTTCCATAAAGTTTTCTATGTCGAATGTAATGTCAGAGTTACTTGATGAATCTACAGGACAAATGCAAGGATTGCTGGTAGAACTTGATCCTGGTTTTTGAGTTGGTTGACCAGGAAATCCTGCCTCTGGTTGGCCTGATTCTTGTGATGTTTCATGCGAGGAGTGGGATTCGTGAGAAGAGTGGGATTCATGGGAGGTGTTAGATTCGTGAGAAGAGTGGGATTCATGAGATGATTGGGATTCATGGGAGGTGTTAGATTCATGAGAAGAGTGAGATTCGTGTGAGTTATGGCTTTCATGTGAATCTCCGTGGCCTGGAATTCCTGGAGTTGGCCCTGGATGACTGGTAGAGCTTATTTCAGGAGCATGTGTGTTTCCTGTATTCGGTATTCCAGGAGTTACATTATTTTCAGGTTGTCCTGGATATCCTGGTGTTGGTGTTTCAGATTCTTCTCCTGAATTTTCTGAGGTCTCGTGTGAGCTGTGACTTTCATGAGAACTGTGAGATTCGTGAGATGTTTGACTCTCATGAGAGCTATTCGATTCATGAGAGCTATTTGATTCATGAGAGCTATGACTTTCATGTGAGCTATGACTTTCGTGAGAATTGTGGTTTTCGTGAGAATTGTGGTTTTCATGTGAATCGCCATGGCCAGGAATTCCTGGCGTTGGTCCTGGATGACTCGTAGAACTGGGTGTTGAGGAATTTGTATCTGGTAATCCAGGAGTGACGCTATTTCCGGGTTTTCCAGGATATCCAGGAGCCAATGTTCCAGAATCTTCTCCGGAATTTCCTGATGTCTCGTGTGAACTGTGACTTTCATGAGAACTGTGAGACTCGTGAGATGTTTGACTCTCATGAGAGCTATTAGATTCATGAGAGCTATGACTTTCATGTGAGCTATGACTTTCGTGAGAATTGTGGTTTTCCTGAGAATCGCCATGGCCAGGAATTCCTGGCGTTGGTCCTGGATGACTCGTCGGACTGGGTGTTGAGGAATTTGTGCTTGGTAATCCCGGAGTGACGTTATTTCCGGGTTGTCCTGGATATCCAGGAGCCAATGTTCCAGAATCTTCTCCGGAATTTCCTGAAGTCTCGTGTGAACTGTGGCTTTCATGAGAACTGTGAGACTCGTGGGATGTTTGACTCTCATGAGAGCTATTAGATTCATGAGAGCTATGACTTTCATGTGAGCTATGACTTTCATGTGAGCTATGACTTTCGTGTGAATCTCCATGGCCAGGAATTCCTGGAGTTGGTCCTGGTTGACTTGTCGAAGAATGTGCTGGGGAATTTGTGTTTCCTGTATCTGGTAATCCAGAAGTGACGTTATTTCCGGGTTGTCCTGGATATCCAGGAGCCAATGTCCCAGAATCTTCTCCAGAATTTTCTGAGGTCTCGTGTGAGCTGTGACTTTCATGAGAACTGTGAGACTCGTGAGATGTTTGACTCTCATGAGAGCTATTTGATTCATGAGAGCTGTTTGATTCATGAGAGCTATGACTTTCATGTGAGCTATGACTTTCGTGAGAATTGTGGTTTTCATGAGAATCGCCATGACCAGGAATTCCTGGCGTTGGTCCTGGATGACTCGTGGAAGTGAGTGTTGAGGAATTTGAACCTGGTAATCCAGGAGTGACGTTATTTCCGGGCTGTCCTGGATATCCAGGAGCCAATGTTCCTGAGTCTTCTCCTGAATGTCCTGAAGTCTCATGTGAACTGTGACTTTCATGAGAACTGTGAGACTCGTGGGATGTTTGACTCTCATGAGAGCTATTAGATTCATGAGAGCTATGACTTTCATGAGAGCTATGACTTTCGTGAGAATTGTGGTTTTCGTGTGAATCTCCATGGCCAGGAATTCCTGGCTTTGTTCCTGGATGACTCGTCGAACTGTGTGCTGGGGAATTTGTGTTTCCTGTATCTGGTAATTCGGGAGTGACATTATTTCCGGGTTGTCCTGGATATCCAGGAGCCAATGTTCCAGAATCTTCTCCAGAATTTCCTGAAGTCTCGTGTGAACTGTGACTTTCATGAGAACTGTGAGACTCGTGGGATGTTTGACTCTCATGAGAGCTATTAGATTCATGAGAGCTATGACTTTCATGTGAGCTATGACTTTCGTGAGAATTGTGGTTTTCGTGGGAATTGTGGTTTTCATGAGAATCGCCATGGCCAGGAATTCCTGGCGTTGGTCCTGGATGACTCGTAGAACTGGGTGTTGAGGAATTTGTATCTGGTAATCCAGGAGTGACGTTATTTCCGGGCTGTCCTGGATATCCAGGAGCCAATGTTCCAGAATCTTCTCCAGAATTTCCTGAAGTTTCGTGTGAACTGTGACTTTCATGAGAACTGTGGGATTCATGAGACGTTTGACTCTCATGAGAACTATTAGATTCATGAGAGCTATTAGATTCATGAGAGCTATGACTTTCATGTGAGCTATGACTTTCGTGAGAATTGTGGTTTTCATGAGAATCGCCATGGCCAGGAATTCCTGGCGTTGGTCCTGGATGACTCGTCGAACTGTGTGTTGGAGAATTCGTGTTTCCTGCATCTGGTAATTCAGGAGTTACGTTATTTCCGGGCTGTCCTGGATATCCAGGAGCCAATGTTCCAGAATCTTCTCCGGAATTTCCTGACGTCTCGTGTGAACTGTGACTTTCATGAGAACTGTGAGACTCGTGGGATGTTTGACTCTCATGAGAGCTATTAGATTCATGAGAGCTATGACTTTCATGTGAGCTATGACTTTCGTGAGAATTGTGGTTTTCGTGGGAATTGTGGTTTTCATGAGAATCGCCATGGCCAGGAATTCCTGGCGTTGGTCCTGGATGACTCGTCGAACTGTGTGTTGTAGAATTCGTGTTTCCTGTATCTGGTAATTCAGGAGTTACGTTAATTCCGGGCTGTCCTGGATATCCAGGAGCCAATATTCCAGAATCTTCTCCGGAATTTCCTGACGTCTCGTGTGAACTGTGACTTTCATGAGAACTGTGAGACTCATGAGATGTTTGGCTCTCATGAGAGCTGTTAGATTCATGAGAGCTATGACTTTCATGTGAACTATGACTTTCGTGAGAATTGTGTCCATGTCCAGGAATTCCTGGAGTTGGCCTAGGAGTCCCTGTAGAGCTTAATTCAGGAGCATTAGTGGCTCCTATATCTGGCAATACAGGAGTAACCATATTTCCGGAATCTTCGGGATACCCTGGCGTTGGTGTTTCAGAATCTTCTTCAGTATTTCCAGACGACTCATGCGAGCTATGGCTTTCATGGGAACTGTGGCTTTCATGAGAACTATGAGATTCATGTGAGGTGTGGCTTTCGTGTGAAGTATGAGATTCATGAGAGTTGTTAGTTTCATGAGAAGAGTGACTCTCGTGTGAGCTATGACTTTCGTGACCAACCTCATCTCCTGATCCTTCTGCTGGCTTCAACGTAGTAGAACTATTTGCATTCTGATTAGGTATAACACTGCTCTCTGGATTTCCTGGAAAACCAGGTTTTGTACCCGGATATTTGCTTGTAACTGATTCCTTAGAATCATCATTAGTATCTTCGATTGGAAAACCTGCAGTAATTCCTGATTGCTCCGGGAATAGATCCGGATAAGGAGCTGTTACATCTATTTCAGGTGGCACTGGAAATCCTGGCGTGTAAAAAAGTTCAGAAACATCTTGATCTTTTATGAGATCTCTGGAAAGATGGTTTAATTCTTCGCCATGATTAGGATTTGTTATTTGGACAGGTACAGCCTTTGTTGTTGAGTGGTACAAAAATAGAACCACACATAGCCAAGACTTCTGAAAGCATCCTGATGAATTACTAAACTAAACTATACTTATGATAAATTAATAAAAAGATTGCCTATTCGTTAGTTCTTAAAGAATTAAATTATTTCTCTATGTACAAAGTTTCACGTTAATTGGTACAAAAATAATAAAAAAAAATATAACCAGTTTTACGTTAATTGGTACAAAAATAGAACCTGACGTAGAAGAGTCTTCTGCAAAAGCATTTGGTTGATGGAATAATAACATGTATGTCTATTGGACAGTTGCAGGCAGTTTTCAGACAAATAAATTATAAATCATTTTGTTTTTATAAAATTATATTAAAGTCCAAAACTATCCTGACAAATCTAAAATTATACTCATCATTAAAAATTACTCACTTGAAATCGTTTCATATCACTTAAAAATACTATTTTGTTGATAACAAACTGTTTATAAATTGTATAAGTTTCTTATATTTATATACAAGGTTTGATGACTTGAAATTACAAGAATTAATTAATTTGTTTATAAAGCATTGATGGCCATCTCATGTAACAATAAATATTTAAATTAAACTAAAAAAATATAGGAAACAAATTAAGGATTTGTTATAGAATTTCCGTAAGTTGATCCAAGATTGTTTTTATGTTGTTGCTTTCCATAGCAATTTAAAAGTATAATGAGTTGTTGTAGAGCCTTATGTTAATATGTAAAGTATAGAATATTTAATTTTATACAAATTTCTCTTATACATCATTCATATTAATCGAATGGTGTGAACGTTACAAGAGTTATCCTAAATAAATGCATATGTTGGCCATGAAAGTTGCTGTATTGGGAGTTTTGGGAATGTTGTTCTGATTCAAAGACAAATTTCAAAGTATACCGAATTGTGGTAGGGTTTTATGTTGTTGGAAAAGGTGAAAATTATATATTATTATCAACTAATTTGGCAAAAACATCATTCAGTTTAAAAATTACAAGAATTTAAAAAATAAATTTGCAAATTTAGAATTAGAGTAGATGAATTGAATCTGAGTTCTGTGAATTTTGTTTTGATTGCAGATCCAGTTTTCAAGTATACAGCGTTGCTGTAGGGCATTATAATACTAGACAATGTTATTTATTATTTATTTATTTGTAATTTAATTTTGTACAAACTTGTTGAAAATACTAATAAATATAAACAAACCGTTTAAGAGTTCTTAGGGATTTACTAAATAAATGCACCAACTTATTGATCATGTAAAGTTGCTGTACCATAAATTAAAACAGCAAGCTAAAATTCACCAACTTTTGTCAAAGGTGATATTTTTCAAAATAAATTCAAATTTCCAAACGATATCTTGTCCGTCAATATTTTCAAAATTTTTCACACATCATTGCATAATTTTTTGTGATAAAATTGATCTCCTGTAAAAGATATGACGTATTGTGAAACTTAATTGTTTAGAAAAACGATTAAAAGATTTTTAAACAATCGACATGTTAATTAAAGAATAAATAAACAAAATTCTTATGACGAAGGTTTTTCTTCTAAACTAATTGAAATAGAGTTCTAAAAATAGGAAAATGGATTTAGAAGAGACACTAGCTAAATAAATTCTAAACTTGATGTGTTTTTTGCAAATTTGGGTGTTTTAATATATTTTTTTAAATAAATTTCATGTATTCGAAGAGCTCTTCAGGACGTACTGTCTATATTACAATGTCGTAATTTGTGCAGGTTCTACCTCAATTGATAAAATTGATGAGTTTTTTTGAAACGTTTTGCTTCAAGAACCATTTTTTGAATAGTGTAGTATGATAAAAATTCTGCAACTTGGTGAGCTCTTCAGAACGCACTGTTTGTACCACAATTTTGTAATTTGAGTAAGCTTTACTTCAGCGTGTCAACTATGACAAAAATT